ACACACACAGCCATTCACATATGCTCACAGACACTCAGAGACACATAGCCACACACATATGCACACACACACACAGAGCCACACACACACAGAGCCACACACATACACATACATACTCATGGTCACACACACAGAATCACACATATAAAACCAAACAACCCTCCTTGCTTCCCTGAGTACGTAGCCCTTGTCAATATTTAAACTAGTAACACAAGGCAGACCCACTCAAAACTTCCAAGTTTTCCTTCCCCACTTCTAAGACTGACACAAATGAAGATTACCAGCTGCCAGGTTTCCTTAGCCATTTCCTCCTATAGATAAAAGCTGTTTTAAGGGGCTTGCATATTGGCTTGTAGGGTAAAGTTCTGCAAACATGAGAACCTGTGTTCAAATCCCCAGTACCCGTGTTAAAGCTAGGCATGATGGGACAGTGCTGGGATGGGAGGGTTGGAGACAGGAGGATCCCGGAGGCTTATGGACAAGCTAATCTTGCCAATGGACAGTCTGGTTGAAGTGGCATGCCAGGCACCTGAACATACTTGTTTAGCACACAAAATCAAACACCACGCACACAAGAAACTTGTGTTATTAGGATGGTCTTTCAGGACTTCACATTTTCTGCCACGTTCTTTCGTTTCTGCTGTCTTCCCAAACATACCTTTTCTGTGTCTTTCATTTCTTTTTAGTGGTGAGTAAGTAAACTGGATTTGGCAACACTGCTCTCTTTGTAGTAAACACGAGAAGGAAAGGCCCAGGAAGTATCTGTCTGTGTGGCAAGAGAGCCAGCGGCCTTGCTCCTGCCTGTGGTTACAGGGAGTGTCTAGGGTGTGGTACACCCTCCCTCTGGCTGTTCTTTGCCTCTGAAGTGAGAAACAAAGAACCTAATGCCCTCTGGTCCCAGCTGCAGTGCACTGGTATCAGGCCTGAGGTGTGGGATCTCTCTGGAGGCTGGTTTTGGCTTGTGTCTAGGATCTCTTCTGGGATCTCATAGCAATGTACCACAGAGGTTGCAAAGGGGCCTGAAGATGGAGTGGGCGATTGGTTGGTCTTCCTTTTTCTCAGTGGTAGGCCTGCTTCAGATGAAGCTTACTCTTGAAGCAGGGCCCCAAACTCATGTTGCCTGCAAGGCCTTGAGCTTCTCAGAGACAGGAGAATGCCTCCTGTAGGGCAGTTTCTTGAAAGGCCCCTTGGGGGAAAGGTAAGGTCTTATGGATGCTGATCTGTAAGGAGCAGAGACAGAAAGGGATTATTTTTGCTCAGAAATAGCAGGTTTTTAAGTGGGAGCAGAAGTAGAGGCAGGAGTAAGGTCTTGGGTACCAAGGCAGCCAGAGGAGAAAACTTTGAGGAGATACACAATGCTCAGTTTTAAAGCCTTTGTATTGTTGTGATGTCAGCTTTGCATTTTCAAGTCATGCCATCTGACAAGAGTCACCTCGTCTCTTTTAACTATAGGTGGCTGGTAGTTGGGAATCACCTACGTTTTAGGGTCATGAGGATGACAAACAAGAAGGGGATGGTGGTGATCCTGAGCTCCTTTGCAGAGGACCATTCTTTCTTCCTGTACTCTGGTCTGTTTGGCAGGTGGGTGGGCTTAGCTTGTGAGAAGCAGTCTCAGGGACTGGATGGAGAAGGCCACAGAAGCTAGAGTTATCTCTCTCCTCTTAACTGTGCTTCTGGTAGCATTTCCCCTGTAGATTTTTGGCAGTGCTTTTTCTTTGTCTTTGAAACAGGGTATCATTCTGTAGCCTTGGCTTGCCTAGAATTCACTGTGTAGACCAGACTGGCTTGAACTTACAGAGATCTGTCTACCTCTGCTTCCCGAGTGCTAGGACTAAACAGTATGTGCCACCGCAGCTGGCTCAGGAAGTCTTACTCTCTTCTGTGTTTCTAGCTCATCACATAGAGATCCACTCGGATTCCAGGTCACCTTGAGTAACCACAGACCTAGCCTCCAAAAACATCACAACTTTCTTTTGTCCCTTCAGCCCTGAGATGGCAGCTTCCTTCTGTTTCTAACTGTATTATATTGAAGTCTCCTGGTTGGTTTAACAGCACTCTCTCTGGGTTATCCATACAGCTAGGACATCCCCTGTCTCTTGACCTCCCCGCCACAGTTGGTCCAGAAAATTGTGGGTGCTGGAGAGAGACCCCAGTTTTGCAGTAGGCTAGAGACTAACTAGTTAGTGGGATAGCTGCTGTCTAAGGCCCAGAGCCTTAGAATCAGGAGCCCCAAATGTGTAAACAGCCCTGGGGTCAAGTCCAAATGCAGGAGATAAACTTTTCAATCCAAACACTTTCACACAGAGTGTATCTATTTTGCTCTGATAAAATTAAATTTCCTAATTTTTGTCACTATGACCAAAATAACTTAAGGAAGGAAAGGTGTGTTTAGCTGCTAATTTGAGGTGGGCATATGTATAGGGTTAATCCATCTAGGTGTGGAAGGCATTGTAGGTTCCTTTGTCTGTGGTGACTGGAACCTTTGGACTGGGAAGTGGAGACCTTGGTCAGAGCCAGGGCAGGTCTGACCTTCAACGACCTGCCTCTAGTGATCTGTATCCCACATCCTGAAAGCTCTGTAACCTTCCAAATAATGCCATCTGCCCAGGATGGAATGTTTAAAAGATAAACATGTGGGGACCATTCCAGACTGAAACCTTAACAACCAGCCATCTTTTTGTTCCATTAGGACCACATTGTGGAGGGCAGCATGCCTTATTGGTGTATGGAATCAGCTGCTGATTTCATCTGGGAAAAACAATGCCATAGACACACCTAAAACAACATTTAACCACATATCTGAATCAATCTTCAGACTTATTCTCTGAGTTTGTTCTAATCCAATGATGTTTCCCTGTTTTCTCTGGTTGGACTCTGTCTGATACAGGCATGAGGGTTTGCTTGTGACTTTGGTGTTCCTTTTTTAGATGGCTAAATAGAAAAAAAAATTGTCAAATTCAATGATATTTCTCAAATCATGCGACACCAGCGATTGGGTGATGATATAATTGATTATGATCTCATGTCATTGTAACGTGACAATGTATATCATTTGGGTTTATTGTTCATGTCTAAATTAAGGTATACTTCTAAATATAGGTTTGTACTCTGGAAAACGTTATAGACTGTTGATATTAAAATCTCATTAATTGTTAGAATTGTGAACTATTGCGAGAATAAACTGTTGCGATAATTAATTTTGTTGATGAAAGTTAATTTTATTTGTTCAGTCATCTTCAAATATTTTCAGTCAACAAACAACAGAGAGATAAACAGTAGCTAACACTCCAATACTGAGAAAGTAAACCAGATAGCTTTAGGAAGGATATTATTTCCTTTCTGAGGCAAGCAATATTTATAATTTTAAATAATAATACCGAACAGAATAATAGGAATTAGATTGTATCACGATTACAATATTTGTGGAACCCGCATTCATAACATTAAACAAAACGAGCTGTAATAACCGCATTTAATTTTTAGCTACTTAATTCTATCTGGGAGTTCTATCTAGGTCATGAGAATTTCAAGAAAAACATTTGAGTGTTTCTTGATATCCCGAGAGAATGAATTGGAAGCGAAATGTCACCTTTGCTACTTCAAAACAAGAGGGAAAAACCCTCCCAAATTATGTGTAATAGTCACAACGAATCTGACCCAGATGTAATAAGAATACAAAGCGTAAAGAATTAGGGAAATAGGAGGCGACCCAGATAGCTGCTTCTCCCCTGAACTCAACAGGGAGGGAATGGTTATTTAATATCACAGATTTGAGCCGAGAGGTGCTAGGACCACCCTGACTGCTAACAGCCCTGAGGGATTATTGTTTCTGCCTTAAAGCAGCAGCTCTTCCAAAAGTGACAGCATGAAACATGAAAAGTAAGTTTCAGTAACAACGAAAATAATACAATAATTACATAATCATATAATTAAAGAATAACTATTTAATATAAAATATATTTAAATATATCTCATGTAGCTCAGGATAGGTTTGAACTCATTATGTGTGTAGCTGAGGATGTCCTTGAATGACTAAATCTAAAATAAAATGCAAGAATTATTCTTGGATATACCACCACCCTCATCCCAGCTGTCTTCACAGGCACAGTGGTATCCTTGCAGCCTAGAAGCTCCACCCTTGCACCCTGCCTCTGCTAGGTGGCAATCCCAGCATCAGAAGCAGATTTCCTCTTCTCGGATCACAGAGCAGCAGCTGGAAGAGATGTCAAACCCCAGTGAGGATGAAGCCTTCCGAGGCTTGAGCTCACGGTCTCCAAACAAACTGCCAAGTCTTTATTTGTTAGATAAATTTATTTGGCACAGATCTGGTACCCAAAATTCTCCCTCTTCCCTAATCTAGTCACCTCAGCCTATGAGATCATCAACAACTGTCTTCTCATTTTCCAGAAGAGAAAGCAAAGTGCACACAGCTCAAGTCATTTGTCACTTGCCCCAATCCATAAATGGCAGAATTTCGGCTTGAACTGTGATCCTGCTGACTGCAATGAATACACAGCCACTTCCCCACCCTGGCAGCAGGCCTTCTCCTGAGATGTTCAAGGCCATGAAACCCAGCTTTATTTGACCGATAAAGGAAGAGGTTTAAGGTCAATACCAAGAGGGTGAACATCATTGTATGTTAATTTCAAATCTGAGCCCTGAGTGGTGTAGACAGAGCCAAGCCATATCAAAACAGTGTCTGTTGTATCCACTCTCCAGTTCCATGCTTGGGATCCATCAAGACAAATCCTGCAGGCTTTTGGAGCGTTCCACAAGTCACTGAAAAAACAGTCCATTTGTTGCCATTTATCGAGGGAAACGCTGGTTGCTTTTTAATTTACCTTGTGAAATGGCTGCTTCTGGGCATGCGTGAGCTGTGTATGACCACTAGAACACGCGGCCGAGAGCCAGACACTTTGGCCCGATCCCTGCTCTGGAGGTGACACGGGTGTCTGAGACCACTGTCTGGGAACAACTTTGAAAAACTCCCTGAGCATCGTCAAGCATGCTCAGGAGCTGGCTCTTTGCTTCAAGGCATTTTAATTACCCAGCGAAGTGGCAGCAGGGGAGACGGGGCCAGGCTTGGAGACATCAGTGGTTTGGCTGGAATGAAACGGTCCAGATGTTGCTGCTGCCTCTAGCCTCTCTCTCTGTTCTGATATGTCTGCTAACACTCAATGCCGTCCAGTAGAAACACAACGTGAGTCGCATATGTAATTTTAAACTTTTCTAGCAGCTAGATTGAAAGAGCTAAGAAGGAATATGGTAGGATTAGCCTTAACAATGTATTTTGTCTAATATGCTCATCTCATAGAGTCCACGGGGCACTACTTCCATGGCCTTTCTGGGTACAGAAATCTACAGTGCTCATGTCCTGTATAAAATTGCATGTAACATGCAAGATTACTTTTAACATCTAACACAATATCCGTGTCATGTAAATAGTTGAAATTATGTGTTGTTGAAATTATGTATTGTTTAGAGAACACACACACACACCCGCACACGCACACGGTCTTCCTTCTCTACTCCAAGGCCTCCAGCAGCTCTCACTAATGGACTGTTAGAACCAGCCTTGTATTTCAGCAATTCGTGTGACTTCCTGCCTGCCCCTCCAGCACAAAGGAAGGGTTTTTAATAGTGCCTGGTAGGGCCTTTATTGTGTACCTATTATGACCAAATCTTAGGACCGTGAGTTCTCTGAGCTATGTTAATTATATTTTCTGTCTTCCCTAATTCAGCTTCCTGGGACATAAGGGTGCACCAGGCATTGTGTATGGTTTTATATGAGTCTCCGATTGCATTATTGGAATGACTGCAAAAGGAAGACATGGAAAATGGGAGCTCAGAGCAAAAAAATTCAACCCAGATCTGCTGATTTTATGTACCCGGGGCAGCTCTCTTGCTCTGGGCTCAGACTCAGTGTCTCAGAAGTCACCAGATCTCATTCTTCCATGGGATGAAAAGCAGGTAGGCGGAAGCTGTCTCCTGATTCCTGTTCCCTTTCTGATTCCAGCTTGGCCTGTAGAAGTGCTGATCTTTGCCTCTTTGGGAACTGGGTAGAGCAGAACCAGCTTTCTAGGCAGCTAGGAAGCAAATTGGCAGGACAGAGTATGATAAAGTCTTGTGCCACACTCTCCTGTGTGGTGCTGATGCTGGCACTCTGCCCTGGGCTTCCCTCGACATGGCAATATTTATGAGATGCATGATTCACCTTCACTTAGTGCCAGAAAGTATGATGTTGTGCCTTGGTACTGTATTGAGGGCACAATAAAAATAAAGATGCACTACTAATAAAGTGTCAATTAGTATTACAGAAAAAAAAAAGGGAAAGACTGACGTATATCCTCTTAGTGATTTCTCCCTAATTAGCCAAATAAATCTGCAAGCCTCCCACTCGAGTGTGTGTTTGTTTGCTTTAGAACACTGTAATTACATCCCCACCCACAGCTTGGGAGGCTTCTGGGAAGCGGAAAATCTCCACACAAGGGCTTTGGCTATGAGGAAGTGAGCCAGCCAGTTTCAACTGGGCTGAAACTCCCTCCTGCCCAGTGGTGTAAGTTTCAGGAGTATGGGAGCTGTACTGATTAATTTTTTTTTTTTTGTCAACTTGATACAAACTAGAGTCACCCGGGAAGAAGGAATCTCAATCAAAGAAATGACAAACAACTCCATCAGATTGTCCTGTGGGTATATCTATGGGGCATTTTTTTCTTTGATTGCTGATTGATGGAGGATAGCCCAGGCTACTTTGGTGTACTGGCTGGTTTGTGTGTGTATGTGTGTGCCAACTTGACACAAGCTGGAGTTATCACAGAGAAAGGAGCCTTCCTTCATGAGACCCAGCTGTAAGGCATTTTCTTAATTAGTGATCAAGGGAGGAGGGCCCAGCCTGTTGTGGGTGGTGCCATCCCTGGGCTGGTAGTCCTGGATTCTATGAGAAAGCAAGCTGAGCAAGCCATGGGGAGCAAGCCAGTAAGCAGCATCCCTCCATGGCCTCTGCATCAACTCCTGCCTCCAGGTTCCTGCCCTGTGTGAGTTCTTCTCCTGACTTCCTTTGGTGATGAACAGCAATGTGGAAGTAAAAGCTGAATAAACCCTTTCCTCTCCAACTTGATTCTTGGTCATGATGCTTTGTGCAGGAATACAAACCCTGACTAAGACATTTGGGCAGTATCATCCCTAGGGAGCTAGGGGGTGGGCCTGGGCTATGTAAAACAGTCTCTGAGCAAGCCATGAAAGCAAGCCATGAAGAGTTTCCCTGTGGTCTATGTTTCAGTTCCTGCCTCGGCTTCCCTCAGTGATGGGCTGTGACCCTAAAGTTGTAATATTAGACAAACCTCTTCTTCTTTACATTGGATTTTTTCTTTAGTGTTTGTTAATTACTTAATGTGTGCATGCTTGAGTGTATGTATGTTCATTGTGTGTATGCAGGAGCCTATGAAAGTCAGAAGAGGTGTGGATTGAGGAGCTAGAGTTACAGATGGCTGTGAGCCTCTGTGTGGGTGTTGAGAACTGCACCCTGGTCCTCTGCAAGACTGGTAACTGCTCTTAGCTGCTGGACCATACTCCTTCCCAAGTTGATTTTGGTGAGTGTTTTAGAACAAGGAAAAGCAAACTAGCATGCCTCCCATTGTGCCAGTGTTTTGTGTGGCTCCCTTGAACTTCCTGGCAGGTAAACCAATTCCATTCTGCTTAGAGGAGAGTAAACTAGGAAGAGACCACAGAGAGATGACTTCTGTACAACTTTGAGCAAAGTCCCGAAATCTCCACCCTCTTGCTTCCCCTTTGTTGGGAGGAGGCTGGCCTGGCCATCCTGGCCCTAAGGCAACCTTCATTTCCACTACCACGGATGTCATGCTCCATCTTTCCCGTTTGTCCATACCTCCCTGGTTCTGCAGAAATACAACTTCACTTCGTTATTTAGTTTGTAATCATTTCTTCCATTTTGGGGTGTGTTGAATTATATTTTGAGAAAACTCCCCATAGAGCTTATGCTATGAAGAGAGTAGGACGTATATACAGCTAATAAAAATTGATCCACAGGTTGGTGATGTGTCAGGAGCAAACGTGTTATCAAAAAGCTGCTCAATAAAAGTGGAGAGACCGCTAGTTCAAAGAACGGGGGGCCATAAAGATGAATAGTTGTGGGGCTGTGAACTATGAGAAAAAGCCAGATGCCTGCAAGAAAGAGCTTTAGAACCCCGGAACCCTGGGAAACCACTGGGACGGAAGGCGGATGTTCAAGCTTTTCCTAGGCCTCTGGCTCTCTCAGCTTCAGCCCTCCATAGTCCCTCCCACAGAGAGGTCCATGATCATAGATCACATAGGAGTAGCACCATCATGCAGAGGAGGCATTCCCAAGCTCTCAGACCAAGCCAATAGGGGTTACCTGCTGCCAGACCTTAACCCACCCCAAAACTGTATCTATGGGCCAAACTCAGAAGTAAAGATGTGTGAGATTCTTCCTGAGGTCTGAGAGCTTCTGTCATGGTCCCTCCCTCTTCACTGGCCAGCCGGTGCCTCTGTGACTCTTTTCAAAGAGCTGTAACACTTTTCCCTTCTCTGCCGCGGTTGGTGGCAGCGGACTCTCCCTGTCTGCACTCCATCCCTCTGGGACCGCTCGATGACAGAGGCAGCCACCATTCGCACCCTGTCCTCAGCCAGGTCAGAGATCCTCGTGGGACTCATCTGGAGATGGATCTTCAGCTAATCTGGAGTCATAAGACCAACTTTGGGATCTTTATCTTTCTTTCTGTTTACTGCACAGCTTGAGTAATGTTTAATCTTACTTGTTCTGTCATAGGGTAGTCTACTTTGGTGGGCTTAAATTTTTCATTGTTTTTGCTTGCACGCGTGCACACATGTGTCTCTCTGTGTGTCTCTCTCTGTGTGTGCATCTGTGCGTGTGCATGTGTATGTTTTGGGTATGAATGTTAGAGAACAACTTTTGTGAACTCCATTCTTCCCATCTTTTTATGAGTTCTGGGGATCGAACTCAGTTGTCAGAATTTTGCAGCAAGCACTTTTGCCCACTGAGCCATTTTGCCAGCCCTTGGTGGACCATTTTTTTAGGGCAATGGTTCTGAAGGGTAGAATCTCTTCACACATTGTAAGCCAAAAGAACCAGAGAATGGCATCCTCTGTAGAAAGCTAGAGACAGATTTGATGGGATAACCACTCCACAAGGAGCTCAGCAGACAGCTCCAGAGAGGTTAGGCAGCGCTCAAGCTCGTACGTATACCCAGCGTGGGCTAGTGCTCAGTGTTTAGTCTCATGAGTTTTTCCACTGCAGCCTGTTTCTCAGCACCTGCAGTGTGGCTTGGGGCTCACGCTTTGTCCTGTGGCGTGTCTGCTCCACATCTCCCGCCATACCTTGCTACTGTCCTCGGATAGATTTACACACAGAAGATGCTACTGACCTTATCTAATAGAAAAGGAATGAGGGTTCAAAGAATCTGTCTAATTCATTACTAAAGATCATTTCCTGTTATTATCCCCCTGTAGCAAAATTAGCTGCTAACTCTCCTGTTAGCACAACCCAGCCAGAATTACTAGGAAATGAGGGAAAATCAGTTCAGTGATATGTGGGCTGAGCCCAGGGAATTCCCTATCCTTGGTGCATATTAACATTATGCCTTAGAAGTGGAGGGAATGTTCTGTTAAGTGGAAAAAGAGTTGCAGAAATTTTACTTTCAAAAGTCAAGTTAAAAGTTCCTTTTTTTTCCCAAGTCAAATTAATTTTTGTCTCAGGGCAAGAAAAAGTAAATTAAAAATCACAGACTGCCTCTTCTCCCAGGCCCCGTCTCCTCTTGGGTTTCCTTCCCTCTTGGCTTGAGTTCCAGGTTTCACTGGCCCAATTTGGGCCTCAGAGAATCCCCAGCCTCATCAGGTTCTGCTCCAGGGAGCCTCTGACTATGACAAGGTGAGAAAGTCTGCCCTTCTTACGATCTTACCTTCCAGAAGCTTTCCTTCCACCTGAGAATGTGTACTATGATGTGCAGTAGAACCAACATCTGGACCTATGTTTTTGGGGTGCTGCCCACTCCCCTGTTTTTTGAGCAGCCAGGTATGTTCAGTGAGAGAATGGGCAGGAGGCTGGAGGTCATCCAGAAGCTGGCAGTGAGTTCATGGCGAGGGATGTATGTATGCACCAGAAGCACACGATGTCTATACTTCCATGGGAGCATGCCTGTGTGCCTGTGGAGGACACTCAGAAGTCAAGGAGCCACTAGATTTGGAAATGATGCTAAGGGGTAATGTTCCCTCTCCCAGTGGCAGTAATGTCACCCACTTGCTTGGTTTTAATGTTTTTACCTGGATCTTTGCCAGTTCTGAGGTTCAGGTGAGGTTGCAGGGCACGGGGAACCTGGAAGCTTTATCTCTGATAGCTCCAAGGTAACAGGATAGCCTGAGTTGCTGTGCTTGGCCAGGGTCACTGGACATGGGCAACCCCTGCAGTGTCTGTTCTGTGTGCTGGGAGCCCAACTAGACTGGCTCCCAACACATCTGCTCTGGGGCTTGCAGGTTCTTGAACCTGGAAATTCTCAAGAATGTGTCCAGAGTTTTCTCAGTTTTAGCATTGACATCCTGGACTCTGGGAAACTCCTTACACCTTCAAAATTGGGCATTAGGTCTCTAGGTCACTCAGATACCTTTTCCATCTTAAAGCTGGGTGCACAGGGAGCTGGCATGGTAGCTTTGCCTTGGTATCAACTTCTACTTTGATTTCTGATCTGTACATGGATTACACACACACACACACACACTCCTACCTACCCACTCCCATTCCCAAGTTAGGAGGAAACACCATAGAATAGACTCTGGTTAGAAGTCAGAGGTTCAGGTACTATCTTACCTTGAACCCAGCTTTCTGGCCAAGGACAGACCAGGATCACCCACATGATATATATGAGCATCCAAAGAGATAAAGTTTTCTCCAGGCTTATGTCACCTGTTGGTATCTGACT